GTGAACGACGAGTCGAGAGGATACAATCTCGGTTTTTACGATCGTCATTTACGCCAGATACCGTCTCCCGTTTTTAGTCTAACGCATTATCGAACAACAGAGAGACCTCTGTGTGTATCTTAATTCCTAACGAGTCTGTAGGCAACGTCGATTTTCTTCTTTCTTTTTTTTCACGCGCACAGATTTTCCAGGCAGCATCCGTTCCGCGGAAAAGCACAGACTCACGGCGATTATGCTGTCGCGATAAGGAGGCTACCGTTAAAGCGGAACGAGCTTTCGAGTGGCAATTCCGCCGTTGTCCGCCTCTTCATTCCGCGATTTAAGAAAAAAAGTTTCGCAGGGGGCTTTGATAATCGCGGGAAGAAGTCTCGAGCGAACTTTCGAAAGTGCAATAAGCGGGTATAAGTATACACATCCAGTACAAATAAATTCTGACACAGACGTTTCCGTTTTTGTTTATTCTTATGATGATGTTGTAAAAGTTCTACCTTACAGAGGCATTAGTATTAATGAAAATTGAAGAAAACCTTCCGCCACCAGGAAAAAAAAATAATAAGGTAATCCATTGTTTCCATACGGTACGATAGCTCCCGAAGGGAGAAAGTTACTCGCTTCAAACGAAACAAAACATTGTTCATAGCTTCAAAAATATTTATCGTTCCACCCACGTTTATTAGAACTGTTTTTCATCATTTGACGAAAATTATTAACGAGTTTTACTATCTACCTTACCAAGTATGACCCCTTTTTCGTATCACCTTGTATAAACTCGAAACCGAAACCGAGTAAGAGTCTTCTTGTGGTTCGCTGTCGAGTCGTACGAGAGGAGAGCCGATGAACGTGTGTCAGAACACGAAATACACATTGGGAAGAGTCACAGGATTACGAGAAAGACGAGAACGTGTCAAGGAATTTCACTTGATGGTTACACAATTGCAAACGTTGGGACGTTCTATGTCGCAATGCCATCACGATGATAAAGTTGCATTCAATCTTCCACGCCGGTGGAGATCGCTCGCTGATTCAAGCTCACAACGACGTTCCATCATTTTATATCCAATGCATAAATTTTCGTAAGATTTGTTACGCTGTGGCCGCGACGAGACAACGGTCAGCGAGGCGGAACACGAGCTTTTACGGAAGCTTCAGCGGAAAAGACTTTAATTGGAATTGCTCTGGCTCGCGTAGATAAGATATCCCTTCGACGACTCTGTCGATTTTGTATAATCCCGTACGGTGTTATCAGTCTCCAGGTATTATAGATACACTCGAATCTACAGGGTGACTCCGATAACTAACTGTTCACCTAGAATATCATTGGTATTTTTTTAGAGACATGAAAGAACTTTGTTCCTGGATTGTCGAAAGTCCGCTTGTTAGGTAAGATGCTTTTCCTTGTTGTACTCCTTTATGGCATCCTTTACTACCATAGAATTTTTGTGAATCAAATTTCTCCATATTTCTCTAATCTATAACAGTTAGTTATTGGACCACCCTGTATGTAAACTTATATGTACAGAGAACTCGTAATTAGTCCCGATGAGATACCCCACTGGTTTTTACTTTAAAATGCTACTCAATCAAGTGTGAGGAAAGTAATTTCATGGATTTATTGAAATTCCATCTACAGGAGATGAAAAGGGGTAAAATATGTTTCTGTGCATTTCTCAATATCTCTCCTCAATCCAGATATGACATTCCACTGGGTTTTGCTTAAAAATGCTACTTATACAAATGCCTGAAAAATAATTTCAAGAATTTTTGAAGTTCCATCTCCAAGGGGTGCAAAGGTATCCGAATAAACAGTAGGATAAATTTAAAAATATAATATACATCTATTTTTTCCTTTCTACAATCCAATTTAAAAATTTTGTTCAAAAAATAATTTTGCTAAAAAAAGTTAGTTATCGATAAAATAACAAAATTAATACCGTTCGTGTGCATATAACCAGAAGCCAGAACCGACTCGACACAGAACGTCGCAGAGACCGCGTGCGCGCGCCGGGAACTCGGTAATTGTTTTGAATTAACGATACTTTAAAGCCACGGCTTAACTCCAGGCGGTGGAGTGGCCGAGAGGCTTTCTGCCTTTCGTTTCTTCGAGCTAACACGAATTTGCGGAGTCGAGGTTTCTCCTGGCTTCCATATCGCGAGAAATTTCCAAGATTTCTTTTTTTTTTTTTGTTTCCCACACTTTCCTCTCGATGCTCGAACGGGACGTTCTGTTTCGACGTCGGCTGGCTGATTCGTTCCAATTTATTCCGGGGGCTTCGACGACCGCGAACGCCAGTTACCGTGGCACAGCTAGTAACGTCACTCCGACTTGTAAGTAACGATGCTTCCGAGCGCAGCTGCGTTCTTTTCACGGAAGTTTGACTTTACGTCGTCTATTCTTACGATACGAAAAGTGTTTCTTTTATCTTTTACACTTTTTACGGGCTCTGTGCTTCTGTGTCTCGAGCTTCGAACACGGCGGTGTACTTCGAAATAATGGTGAAATATACAGGGTGTTTGCGATAATTTGTACCATCGTTTTTTTCGTAAAACAGAAGAAAACCGAAGAGGAGGAAGTTGTAGTATATTTTACTAGGAATATGATAGCGTATCTAAAGTTTTTGTATTTTTAATATTTTTCTAGAAACATAGGTCCCCTTAATTTTTTTAAATTAACAACTTCCTCCTCTTCGGTTTTCTAATGTTTACCGTTTACGAACAAAAACGATGCGAACACCCTGTATACACTGCTTAACATAACTATAAAACCACCCTAAAATGTTCAATTTTATGTATCGTGGTTGAAATAGAAACGTACCAAGTATGCTATGTCTCAAATCATGTTGAGAAATAATGCTTCTACAGAAAAAGATAATTATATTACTTGGAAAGAAGTAGTTCGTTTTTATTTTAACCACAATAAGGATTGAACATTTTTAAGGTGGTTTTATAGCTGTGCCACGCAGTGTATAACTGTCGTAATGATAAATTTAAATATCGATTATCACTAGAAGGTTGATGGTACATATTTCGTCGCGAAACCTGTTCGAATCCGCGGAGTTTTCGGAAAATCGCGACGACGACGCCGCACCAGCGAGGCCAGGGGCTATTGAAAACAATTTACCCTCTCGATGGAGTCGCGATATACACACGCTCGAACGGATTTTTATCTATCGAAGTTGACGCTGACCGGGGTTGTCTGGAAAAAAAAAAATAAAACTGGGGGTAGGACCAAAATCTCTCTCTCCCGTCTCGCGTGAAACGATTTTTTTTTTCATTAATCCATCCGATAAAAAGTGGAAAAACGGTGGACGGTTGTTTTCGAAAAAGGCCGCGACGTGTCCCCCCTCCCCCCTGGTGTTATCGATATTACATTTATCAGGCTGGTCGAGTATTTTTTTTCTTTTTAATTCTCGCCCCGGTAACAATCGACCCGGGATTTTCTGCTAGGATATCTATCGATTGGAGGCGACAGATAAAAAAGCATCGGGAGAAAGAGAGACATAGAGAAAAGAGCAGCTGTCGCACCTTTCAAACTCGCGACAAACCACCGACGTTATCGGAATCGCATTAATCCGCGGAGAGGTGAGACAGCCTGCGATCGCGAGATCTTTCCGGGATAAATATTCCGTGGTTGGGGTGGGGGGAAAAGATACAAATCATATTTCCCGGGGCTACTCTTTGCATTTTCATTTTAGGGGAGGGATGAACGATCGGTCTTGCGCAGCGATACGTATTTTTTTTTTCTTTTTCGAAAAATATGACGAAGACCGCTTCTTTCCACCATGTTCCGCGCTCTCTTTCGACCCTCTGACACAAAACGAATGAAACGAAAACAGCCCCTCACTACGTCGATATTTCATCCCCCTTTTTCAAAGGGGTTTTTCTACGGTGAACTCGGGGAATGACCAGCGTATCGTGTAAGCACATGCATTTTTGCAGGGTATAAAAATTCTGCATACACACAGCCTCCCCTCTCTCTCCCTCAGCTGTCTGTATATCCTTCTACGATCCTGTTCGGTCGAAGAACATCAAGATTTAACGGTGCATAAATGTTGTAGTTGTTCGAGACGTCGTTCGAAAAATTTGTATATTTTCTTGTCGATTATAAAAATCGCTGCTGGTTAATCATCCGGAAAGGAGAAATTTGTTATGTACTATCTTCGGTGGATTTTCCACGTTTCAGGTGGAACAACGGAAAATATATATATATATATTTCTCTGACTGTACTCTCCGCGACGTCGAATGGGTTTTTCCCTGTTCCTCTCATTAAAGATACAAACAACCCATTTCTTAGAAGCACTCGGAATAATTATCTCGCGGTAATCGTGGAAAAGCCTTGATCGTTCCACTCGACGTGACACGAATTTAATGACGCAATTAAGAAGTTCTCAGGGCATTGCGTTCTCCCCGTCGTTCTTAAGAGGAAGAAAAAGGTTGAATTCAGACGATCCCGACGAATCCTTCGCCCGGGGAAAGAAACCGTGCGAATGAATACCGAACTGTGAAATGGCCATTCGATTCCGACTGATACAGCGTAAAATTTCAATTTTCACGCGCTTCACAGTGCTCCGATATTCTAAATAAATTACTAAACTGTCAGTTGAAGGGCTTAGTGGAAACAGAGCGTATGCCACAATATTGCAAATTTACGCGACAGCTGCAGGAAAAATAATTTTCTCAGGAAATTCGGTATTAATTGATGGTTACTTTAGTTGGTAATGGAAATAGATGGTAAATGGCAATTACTATCGAATCTTGACTTGGCACAATTATATACGTCTCAAAAAAAAAAAAAGAAGAGTAAATTAATGTAAATTAACTGTAGAGCCAATTAATTCGTCATGACAAACCACTGTGTACCACTAACTCAATATCTGAAAATTCTGAATGAACAGACATCGTACACGTCGCGTTAATTCTGCCTCCGTGGGTTACGTAACACCAGAGAGGCTGGTCCATCGCGTGAACAATAAAGAAAGACCCAAAGGATAGACAGACCCACCTTGTCCAGATCGATCTCCTCCTGCGAGTTGAGCTTCGGGCACATCAGGATCGAATATTCCGAGTTGTTGACAGAGTTGTCGGCCCACGAGACACCGGCCAGAATCAGCATCACTAAACACCACATCATCGTATCGCAATATCCTCCCCTCCCCGTGGATCTCTTGGAACGTTTCCAAACTCCGTGGGTCCAGCCACACCAAGGATCACCCAGTGACGGTCCTGGTCACGCGCTCGGTAGCAATCGTGGGATCAGTCACTTCCGGTTGTTCGCATCGAACGAGGCGGTTCGATCGCGATCACGCGAGTCCAGCACGATCCTCTGGCATGTTCCGACGATAGAGACAGACCACAGAGTTTGACCCAATTTTTCGTCAAACGAACTCCAGATGACCGTGATCGAATTCCTCCAGTTCTCCAAGTCGTGACGGTTCCTTTCCAGGGGACGGAATTCAGCGAGTTTCGAGTTCAACGGTCACGGCTAATAAGAGGCAGCATATCGCGAGTGATTGTTCTTCTCGAGTATAATATTTTCCAAGCCGCGAACGAGAGTCACGCGACTGGTCCCCCTGTTCCTTCGCTTCTGGAACGCTTTAATTGAACGGCTCCTCGCTCATCCCCGCGCGCTCGTCCGTGATCGATGCTTCAGCGCATCGCTAGCTCTCTCTCTCTCTCTCTCTCTCTCTATCACTCTGTCCTTCCTCCTCGTTCTTCTTCGATCTCTCTCACCAGTCTCGATCGCCCTTGGTATTTTCTGGTTCCGGCTGGATCGAGGAAAAATCTCTATGGTTCACGTATCTTCTAAAAGCTCTACCACTCTCGTCGAGCTAGCATAGTCACTGAAGCCCTCGATAAAGTACTGAATGATCGATGTACATACACGATTATTCAACGATAATAAACACGTCGGCTTGCGGGACAGCACCACGTTTCTGGTTCCTTCTGGAAACAAACGACGGTGACGAACAACAACGAACGATCGATTGTATCCGTCGAATGTTTCCGCGACGATTCTTTCGATCTTTTTCTTGACCCCCCCGTGAATTCAGGTGTATCGACGCGTCACGTTACGAAATACACTCTGGTGGAACGTTTTCTTTTTTTTTTTTGTTTTTTTTTCCCGAACTGTGTATTCGATCGATCGATATTTCCGTGGTGATCGATGCCAGAGAATTGCGACGAATGACGAAAGTCGTCGAACCGCGCACCACGGATCCAGAAATTGCGAGAGGATCGAGAGCAGGCCGGGATGCGCGCGCGACGCAGTCGTAGGGTACTCTGACGTTCCCCCGGTCTCTCTGTGGCGCTCAGCTCTGTGGTCCTCTCCTACGTCCGTGTCCGTTCGTTCGTCGCGACCGCCCATCGTCGATCGTGGGAGGGGAAGGGAGGATGGGGAGGTAAGAATGGACCGAATTCACGCGAAGAGGATTCGATGGCGTGAGTTGTAAAGAAAGTGGTCGTTTTTTTTAGTTTCTTTTTTGTTCCAGCTGAGAATCAATTTTTGCGACTGGGAGAACGTGCGCGACGAGACTTTGCTTGAATGATAATGAGCACGAAAGAGCGAACTTGTTCGATCTGCTCGTGACGGAGAAGCAACTTTAAGGGACCATGCTCGGTCAGGAGGCCGAAAAAAGAGTGTTCTTTGGGAATTTTTTTCTCAAAAACTATAAGACCTTTTTCAAAAAATGTGTTTGTCTTTCGAAGATTGCAGTTTCTAGATTATAAGGTAATTTTTTTTATTTAAAAATAGTTATTAGTAAATGAATGGTGAGCGATCTCCCGGATGTCTCTTCACAAAATGTAGTCCGCCGTGTGATCACTATAACTTCGTAACGGTTGTCTTTGAACGTCGGGTTTTTCGAAATATTGATTAGGAACAAGTTTTCGAGAAATATTGATCACCGATTTGAAAAATGTAGTTTCGAGAGAAACCCGTTTAAACTTTACACTTATATAAAATGATCATTTGTTAACGCCTGTAACTCTGTCATTTTTAATTGGATTGCCTTGAAACTTGCACAGAATATTCTCGAGATGTTGTACTTGAAAAAAATGTAGAAAGTGAACAGTCGATTTTTTGAAAATTTTTGCAGAACAGAAGAAAATGGTTGCCATTTAATTATAAACCGTTCCTCGAGTCGATACAAATATTCCTGGAAATGGGATTCCCATGGCAGACGAGTGCACGTCGCGATTTTTGCTCTTCTCCAGCGCGAGACGTGGAGTTGCCTCTCGCGGAAGGGGTTTAGTTTGATCGTTTTCCCTGACGGGTGTATAGGTACGTACGTTCGTTTGTCGTACGTCCCGAGACGGAGCTCGACGGAGCACGGGGAAAATTCTAGCAACAGAAACAAGAGATACGGAATCGAGAGGATTACGGAAGGGGTGAATCGAAAGGAACGTAGGAAATATAGGAAAACGATTGTCCCGTTGAACGAGTTTTCAATTTTGAGTTGGAAGCCGGTTACATGCTCCTCGGCTAGAAAATGACTGCGCACGGAACTGGTACACGCGATTCGAGCAATACCATGGGAATATCTGTTCATTCATACTTTTCTCGCATTCGTCGATTAATAGTCGTGGTTATCGCTCTTGAATGGAATCGGAATCGTGAGTGGGAAGTAATTTCAGGGTCTTTCCAGCGTTTCGATTCGATGAATAGATATTCTGTCGTGTGGAGGGAGGCGTAATATCTTGGGACAATAAAAGTTACGTAGGGTAAATGTCCCAATTACTGTCCCTAATACTACAACTTTATTTATTTCACTTAAGTAATGTATATAAAGTAACTGTGTACAAACAGATTTTCTTATTAAATTGCGACTCTGATTTGTATACAAAACAAAGAAATGCATGTACTTGCGTGTGCTTGGTGTTTTAAAAATTAATACTGAGAAACGAAAGTGCAATTTGAGCGTCAGAAACGCGACCACGTGAGTAGGAAGCGTTGACGAAATCATACTAAATGAAAAGAGTCGTGATTTTACGATTCCATTCTTCATATTCAATGTAGGAAACTATACCTTTTTTAATGAAAGAGATGTTTAACAATATTTTATAACAATTACATGAAGTTAACGTGGCAGAACATTGGGACATCACCCTATAACATTTTCCGCAATTCATCTGGAAAATACATTGCCCAACACCGAACCTTGGCTCCGCTTTTCAAACTCTCCTCGTGTCACTTCAAACTGGGCACACTGTCTGGTAGCGGGTGCACAGCCAATTAGTGAAGTTTCACTGGTGGTTACAGGAATTTCGAACGTTTTTCCGTAACTCATAGACTCCAGAGAACCGGTTTTAATCGCAATTATTCAGATTCGTTTTCGTGGTTTCCCCGATCTACCGTCCGAATTTCAAATGCATCTCGATATCTCTGGAGGATTTCGCTCGAATCGCTCGAGGGAAATGTAGGAAGCCACAGTTCGAATTGCGCGCGCGAAAGATAAGCAGATCGCGAGCAAAGACACAGAGAATATGATCGTCGAGTTGAATAAAGGAGACAAAGAAGACGCTGAGGTAAATGTCTAAATTTCTACTTATTTAAGCATGTACTCGTCACAAGAAAGATGTACAAAATTTGCAAAGTAATTGATTAATTCCTTAATAATAAATCAATTGGTTAACAAATATTTAAAAAAGATATCTCGAGTACAATACTCTAAATGTCCATACTTTTGCTCACGAGAACTGATGTATCTCTACTCACCATTTGTATAAATTTCTGCTTACATAAATGTTGCCTTTTGTATTAAGAATAAATTATATGCAAACAGCAATTAAAAAATGGTAGAAAATCTAAATCGAGAGCACAATACAGTATCTGTTTTTATGATTAAACAAGAACTTTTACTGCAAAGACTGTCCGATTTTATCGAATACCAATTGAGTCGCTAGTCTCTACCCAAAAAACAACTGGAACACGACCAAGAAAGACAGGTTTCTCATTTAAATATTTTTTCGTTTCCTACGCTGCACTAAATATTCAAATAATTTAGAATTGTTTGGTTACAACCATAATATGAACGTACTACCTATAATACTAAAAAAAATACGAAATAAGTAGAAATCGGGACACGAATAGAAATTGGAACCCTTTGCCTTATATAATAGCTGGCCGCAACGCGTCGGGTCAATAAAATGTTAATTTGTTCATTCAATCAGGCCGGATGATTCGGGCTGCGGGTCTCATAAAAGTATGCTGACGCACTCTATACAGACATTTTATCGGAGGCTGAATTCCACGAAGAGAGAGGGAGATAGACAGTTGCGATCTGGAGGAAGAAAAAGTATTGGCAGGATGATTAATCGGTTCTCGCGGAATCGACGGATGCCTTTATTTAGCGACTTCATTTACGGGAGTGCGCGCACTCTTGAATTTCTCTCCGTCGTAGAACAATGGAAACTACTGAAATTTTCATGTCATTACGGCAAGATTCTCCTTCGACAGTCGTGTTCTTAAAAAGCAGGTTCAACGAGCCAGCAACACGGAAACTTTTTAATGGAACAAGCCAATGAATTTTAAAGTACTTTGATGAACGCTCTTGGAACCGGGATAACGTTTTCGGTCGAAACATTTTATAAAATAACACGCTCGTTCAATATTTTAAGAAGCGGTTCCTTCTTGCGGCGGGGATATAGGAAATGCGCCTGATTTTAGGCAACTCTGTTTACTCGTCATAAAGAAGGTGTAAACAATTTTTTTAGGGTGAAAAATTTGCAAAGTAATTGACGAATTCCTTAATAACTGATGAAAGGCAACAAAAATGGGTTTTATTACGTATTATTATACGTAAAGTTATTACTTTATTTAGTTAATTATTACACATAACTGTGATAGAAGTAAAAACAAAAGATGTCAAATAGCGACGAATGTTAAACTGTTCTTGTGAATCATTTATATATGTCCTGCAATCTACACAAAAATGCAAAAGGGTAATATTTGCTCGTAATTGTCAGATAACTTGGGAATGAAAGGGTTTTATGCCAGTAATTCTTTCGACGATGAGACAATTCGAGACGTGTATTCTCTTTAACAGTACATTCATTTAAGCACAATATGGATTATGAGACCTATGCTGCTCTATTGATCAGGATACCTTTGCTGACAATGCTTGACAACAGTTTTCCCGACCCTATCAACCGTATTGTGTCGCGAAACTGCGTCGCAATGTATCGTGTATCGTCCGAAGAAACGCAATATTATCCACAGAGTGGTAAGAAGCCTTGAAACGAATAGCATAGTTGATTCTCCGTTACGTAAAAAGAAAAAATAAAGAAACGGCTCTTTCGTTTCGCGAGTTTCTCGCGAGTTTTTCGCGAGCGGAATTACCGCGAATTACGGCACACGACGTGGATATATATAACCGGGAGTAACGTTTTCGGCCGCCATTACGGTGGTTTAAAGCAAACAGACGA